TTTAACATGTTGGCAGCCTCTCCTCTGAATCCACTAAGATCCAGCAGGAGGTCAGCCTGTGAATACTTGGTAGCAGTGCGCCCCCTATCTGCCTCAGGGAGGCACTGCCTGCATCTCCTCCAGCATCAGCAGCAGCAGCTGTGCTGTCTGAAGCATCCTTTCTGTGACTCTGCATCCTTGTCCATTGGGGAGCCCCCCCAAAAAAAACAAATCCTGGGAGAGAAAGAGGGGACCCCACGTAGGAAGCAGGCAGAAGCCTTGTGCAGTTCAATAATCATACAGCGCTGACTGCTAACTTTGCAGAAAGGAGGGAAGCTGCGACTGCAAGCCACTGTATTCCTGAAATAGAACAAATAAAAGCAGGCTTGCCAGCAGACTGGACCTGGAAGGATGCTAGCCCCAGCTCCTGTCGTCCCCTGCAAATCTTGGAGTCTCTCCTCTCTCGCAGACACCAATGCAATCCTGGTCTATCTTCAGACTGCATGGCAGAGCTGAAAGGTGAGCAATCTCTTCTGTCTGCTGCTGATACACTTCTAAGGGTAACATAACCCCCTCCCTTCCCTTCCCAATCCTACAGCCTCTGTCTGTCCTTATCCTTGGCTCCATCCGGCTGCAGAAAACCTCTCCTTCAAGCCCCCCGATTCAGTGCAGCAGGCTAGGGGAGGGGGGGTGCCCAAATGAAGTCATAGCCTTTGCAATATGACAAGGGGACCCCTTTCCAACTTCATCATCCTACTGCTGCGAGACCAGGACCCAATTATCACCTGTATTAATCGTACAGGTAGGTTAAGATTTGCTTGCCGAGCAGAACTTTATCCTGTTTATGCAGGCTGTGCAGAAATTGCCTAATTTCGCAACCTATAGGAGGGCATTGGCGACATCTGCACACCACGGGGAAAAAAAACCCTTAACACCCCCCCCAAAAAAAAATCACGTAGGAGTTACTGCCGCAAGGAAGAAGGCAGCTTTTGTGTAGGAGACGTACTTAGCAGCTCTGCAATTGCATAATTCAGCTAGAATGTAAAGAGAGAGGAGGTATTCCAGCTTATTTATGTGGCATCTCATTATTTATTTTTTTAAGGGGGGCTCCTGTTTTCGGAAGCGCCCCTTTCCTCCCCCCTTGCTGAAGGGTTAAGGCCAGCGAGCCAAGGATTTTAACTGCCTATTTTTGTTTAAGAGCAATCACTTTTAAAATGATGTGCACTTGCTTGCCTTGCTTGCATGGTACGAGCCTGTGATGTGCTTTTGTTGCCTCCTGACAAAGCCATTAGTTGGGTTCGAGGACTCGAAAAGAAAGGCTTTTTTTTCTTCTTTTAATTCCCCTATTGTTGCCACAAATGCGCTCAACCCCTGTGCATTGATTAAGGAGCCCCATGCCATCTAAAGGCTTGCTGCAAGCATAATAGTCTCCATATCACCCCCTTCTATTAAAAAAAGGGAGAGAGGGGTTGTGGATTGACCTGTATTATACCATCTTCAGATCAAGTAGTGGATGGTGGGGATCTTGTTAAAGTCTGGCCCCTCAGGGGTTAAACATACGTGCCCTCTCAATCCCTCCCCTCCTCCTTCTCCCAGTGAAGTGGGGGACAGAGAAGACACATGAACTGGGCACAGATGAGCATTTTTGTTCTCGTTTCCTTTTTTTTGGTTCATAAACCAGAGGCGGCTGTTTTAGGCTCACTTTGGCTATTTAAAAGCAGCCCCCATGACTTGTAGATCATCGGTTGGGGGGGGTCTGCCTGTTCCAAAACATGCCGTTTTCTGCTTTCTCCAAGCCGGATGAAATCTTTCAGAGTCTCGTTTCTTTAGGTTGATCGTTCCTTGTGGATTTATATTTTTTGGCATTGCAAAAAAAAAAATTACTTTGGTTTGATTTTCAGATCTGCCCATTTTGTCGCCCGGGACCCAGGCAGGAGAAGGTGTAGAAGGGTATTTCGGATAAGCCAAAAAATCACCTCTTCTTGCATCTCCTATAAGAGGAAAGATCCCGGTCCAAAAAAAAAAAAAAACCAGCGAGAGATCGACCGATTTACTGATGTGGAGTGACATGAAGCCCGCTTGTTGACTCAGTAGGTCTTCTGTACTGCAAGGCTCAATCTTGAAATGGGTTTTTCGATGGTGCACCTTGTCCTTCTGGCTTTTGGATACCCATAAGAAAACAAAAAATTCTAGGCAGAAAATTTTGGAGATTTAAGATTGGGTTCTGGGATCCCAAGCTGATCTAGAAGGAGATCCTTACCAACCTCAATGTGGATGTTATAACTTTTTTCTTAAAAAAAAAAAAAAAAAGGGGGGATCGCATTGGGGGTGATCTGCATTTCGTAGGGGGAAATATTACCTGAGAAGTCTCCATCTGCACCTCCTGCATTTTCTCCACTTTGACCATGGGATTGAAATTCTCCTAGTTGGCTGCTGGAATTCGCCTCTGAAATTCGCCTGATTGCTCCTTTTTTGTTTTTGTTTTTGCCATAAACTGATATGTATGAGATGGAAAAACAAGGTTTATTTAGTGCGCTTTGTTACTTGATGCTGAATTCCCCTCTGCTGTTTAGTGTACACGGTAAGTACCACCGCTACGTTGTCTAATATAGACCTTACGAGACGTTCCAGTCTGCTCTGATGTAATCACCCCCGATCTCCCCCTGTCCCTTTGTTGGCTCCTGCAGCATTCGGCATTACAGGTGCAGATTTAAATCTCTCTCTCTCTCTCTCTCTCTCTCTCTCTCTCTCTCTCTCTCTCTTT